AAGGAAACAGCTCTGACTGGAGAAGTCCACACATCAGTAGGATGTGCAATCCTTCTAGCTGATCTTGGTTGGTGTAGTCCAGAGCTGAGGTTGTTTTATTCTGGCTTGTGATGGCCTTGGAGACTTTGTAGAGACCAGCCCTTATAGCTTCAGCATTTAACCTCAGCAACCCTCAGTCATCCATGCTTCTCTTGTATGAAGATTGATTATTAGGGACAATGCCCAATTTGTTATTATTGGTACATCAGACATCACTTGATTTTCCTGAATCTATACTTGCAGAAAAATTGACAACAGGAAACTTCACAACATTGACGAAAGGGCTACATCTAGGAGACGACTTCTCTCGGACTTGACAGTTGTCTCACACGACTGTTTATCTTCAGTGGCAAATCTTTTCGGCTCTTACAGAAAATGCGCTGTTCTTTCGCTATGAAGCGATCCTTAAAACATATATAACTTAAGTGTTTAAGTAAAGGCAATACACAACTTAGCAAAAACAGAAAACTCCACAAGAAAATCCTGTTCATGTCACCAAAATGTATCTTTTCTTCATGTTCTGTGGTATTTTCTGGTTAAACAGATTTCTGCAAAGAGTATTAAGTAGATACATTATGTAATAGGAGAATCTGCAGGATAAATCACAAAATAATACTCAATTTAACTAAACTGACTGACTTTTAAACTAATAAATAGAGACTGGGCACAATGTGTAGTAAAACACAAGAACAATCTTTATCAAAGACATAAAACACAAAGTACATAGTTATGTTAGACAATGGTCGTCTTTCACTTGAATTGATTAACAGATTTTCTTCCCTCAAGATGTCTTCCTAGCAACCAACTCACTTGATATTCTGAATTGAAATTCTTCAATCTAATGGTTTTTTTACTTGATGGGAAATGTTAAATTTACCCATAGCAAGTAGTACTACCCATGAGACTGGTCATTCTCATTCAACTAGGAGAGGCTCCAGATATCACCTGTCCTACCAGTAAAGGATACTACTGTCATTTAATTCTTGCGCTGATGGAACAAGTATTATCTCTAGACAGCAACACAGAAACAAAGGCAACTAGAACAATATTGTTGCGTCAGCGAGATCATGTGACTATTCTCACGCCCTCTGCTTTCTAGAACTATCCTGTACCTTG